TAAAAAAAAAAAAAAAAAAAAAAAAAAATCTTGGATCAAAAGGGAACTGTGGAATTGTGTAAAATTTCTGGCCATACGGTTCTCCATTTTGCAGCTGCATTTTTCTTCCCAATGAACTCTTGAACTAAGCCAGAAGCAGCAACTGTTTTACAAGCAGTTGATCGTAAAGTTTAAAGAGAGCAACTGACAGATCACATGAGGACAGCAAAGTGAATTCATACATACCAGGGACAGTTTTATTTGACAGCAACAATAAAATAATCAATAAGATAGTAATGAGAAGTGGCTCCACCAGTCAGCACCAAAGTAGGTTTTTTTTTTTCTTTTACTTAAGTCATGTAATCACCCCTTCTTTCTTTCCCGTAAAAACCCCTTGCTTTCCCCACATGAACAAGACCCTTTTCTGAGTCCTCCAGAACGTGCACCGAAACTGCAATTCTGAGACCCCCCCCCCCGCAAAAAAGGCCTTTGTTCTTTCAGTTTTGCCTCCTTTACTCAATTGATAAAATGATCAGCAATAGAATAAAGCAATACAGAATGCGTAGCACGGAAGGATAAATTGTTTCGGAAACATTTTTCAATAATGTAAATATACAGAAAATAGATTTATGTGTATCTATATGTATTACATAGAAAATAAATTTATGCACATGCGCACGCACACACCTGGAGTCGTAAACTATTTCTCACGGTGGGTCTTCATTCAAAGTTTGAAAAGCTCCTGAAACGCGCGGGACTCAAAAGGATCCTGGCAAGGTAAATTCAAGGTCAAATCAAAGAGCCCCTTTGCTCTCCCTTTGCAATGTAGAGCAGTTAATGGAGGCAGAGGAAATGGCGTGAGAGGGAGGGGACACCAGAGTGAGGTCAAGCGAGGAGCAAGGGCGGTTCGGGACAGGGAGTTGCCGGATGCCAGATTGTCAATTGAGGGACCCGAGGTTGATTCTGCGCTCTTGCCTTACATGCTAAACCGAAAGAACTTCCGCGTTCCTTGTCCCTGAAAAGCGGACGAAGATGAGGGATTAGCCGTACTCCCGGGGGCCACACTACGTGGGGCCGGTTCCCTGCAGGGAATTCTTATCCAGGGCAAGGAGAGGGGAGGTGGGCGGGGCGTGGGAAGCGCGGGAAGGCCCGGCCGGGTCGGCCTGAACAGCGACTCACGCCGCGCTCTGCACAGCCCACCAGGGGAAGTAGCAGTCCTGTCCTCTGGGACCTTTCGCGGGAGGGAGCCCCTAAGCGCGGCGTGGGGGCTGTGCCCTTTCCACGGGCCGGTGGCGCTCCCCGCCAAAGGGCAGCACCGGCCTCCGCCCCCGGCCCTGCAGCAGGCCGGCTCGCCCGCCGGGCCGCAGGAGCCCACGTGACCCGCGGCGCGGGCCACCGCCTCCGCCGCGCCCAGGCCCCGCCTCCCTGACGTCTCACCGCCCTCTGACTGTCGGAACGTTCCGCCTCTTTCCACGTTCGCTAATTGGCCGGCCCGGCGGGCCGCGCCCCCCCCCGCCACGCCCCCGGAGTCATGGGGAACGCGGTTGGAGGCGGGGCCTGGGCCGAAGGGGCGGGGTGAGAAGGTTCCGCGCGGGTAAAGGGGCTGCCTGGAGCGCGATCCCAGCGTTCTGCTGTTGCACGCCGCCTCGCCTGCCCGGCTCGCGACCTGCCCCTCCCCCGCCCGCCGCCGTCTCCCGGGAAACGGGCCGCGATAGCCCGCTGACCCGAAGCTGGTTTCATGGCAGCCGCGAAGAAAGCAGTTTTGGGGCCATTGGTGGGGGCAGTGGACCAGGGCACCAGCTCCACGCGCTTTTTGGTGAGCCCAGGGTGACATTTGAGGAGGCGCTGAGCCGGGGCGGGCGCCCGTGGACCTCGGGGCTGGCTGTCGCGTCCCCATCCCGCGCCTCCCCCGACCCCGGGCCCCAGTCGCTAGGCAGGGGGTGGAGGCCAAGGCCCCCGGAGCGGGACCCGCCACGCTGGAGCTGCCCTCCGTGGGCCTGGGGGACCTCGGCCTCTCGCGACCCCCGTGGCCGAGTTGAGCAGCCCCGGCCTCGGTGGTGGAGCCGAATCACCTACTCATAGGGGGACTCCACCCCCAAAGGGAGCTGGGACTCGCCGAGCATCCGTAAGAGCGGCCCGCCTGTAGCCAGGGACAGGTGGCCACATTGACCGCTACTGCGGTCTTCCCCAGGAGCATTTGGCCTGCGGGGCGCAGGACGTCCTTGGATGGGGCAAAAGCTGTGTCACGGCTTTGGTAGCCTAACACGGCGTCCTTTGGAGCCGTAGAACGAATATAGTATTAGCGTGACGATGCGCTGTCATCCTCTCCCACACAAATTGCAGAAGGTGGAAGGCCGGCATGGTGGGGTGGGGGGCGGTGCTGAACACGTTAGGAAAAAGTCACGCTACTGTGTTTTTACCGGCATCTTTATTCGATTCCGAAGGCTCGCAAATTTCAGTTCGGATGCTTTGCCCGTCACAAACAGATGATTGTTTTCTCCGTGCTTCACAACTTAAAGTGACAGGAAAATGCTGTTCCTCTTTTTATTTACCGTGTCTGAGAGCAGTTTTATCACAACGGAGTGCTATTTAAGGGACTCTGCTTATTAATGCCGTGTGCAATTAAGAAACTTGCTCTTAAAGCGATCTAGCACCGAGTTTGGTAAGATGATTTAAAAGTAATTTAAATAAACGCTTGTTGGTCAAGAACTTATGCTTTCGGTGGACATTTGGCTCACTTAGCAGGTTGATGTAAATACTGAATGATTATTTAGCTCTTCACTGACTTCAAATCATTTTTTCGTGCATTATTCTGTATGTATATGTATGTGGGCGTATACTACATGTATTCATTGTCTATACAGTAAGTACATGTCTTCCAAGTTCTGCTTAACTGGCCAGTTGACTAAAACCTGCATTTGTGCCTGCATTTTGATACTTGTCTCTCTTGTCTGAACTGAAAAGCTTTCTGTCCACTTGTAGTTTGAATCCTATTTCATGACTTAGCCAGGTTTGAGCTGCCAAGCTCAAACCACCGTCTCTTACATTGCTTATCTTTAGATCACCCTGGGCAGGTTTCACTTTGTCCTATTCTCATATAAATGTTTGTAAAGGAATCCTGAATCATAAGTAAGACAGTCTGCCTAACTGGATTTGATTAATCTATAAAACACACAATCATCATTGCCATCTTCCCAAATTAAGAAAGGCCATTGAAGACCTGTGTCCTGACTAACTGTGGGTTGATTTTGGAAATCCTGTTCAAGAATTGCCCACACAAGTGCCTGCAGGAGCCAGCCAGGTAGAAGGTGGAGAGCCGACTCAGGCCAAGGGGACAGCCTAGAGCCAAGCGGCACCACAAGCCCAGTGTTGCCAGATCTTCAAATTCTTTAAGAAATGTTGATCGTCTTGAGTTTGCAGTGAAATCTCATTATTCTTTAACGTTGGCCAACTACTTCTTTAAGCATTGTGGGGGCCACACTGAACGGGGCGACTGTTCTCAAGTTGATACAGCTTCTCCCCGCTGTGAACATGGGTAAAGTATTTGATGTTTCATTTCACTATTATTACTCATGTCCTTACCTTATTCAGTTCGGTATGCCTTCCCTTTTAGGAACCAGCCTTACTGTGCTTCTCTTTCTTTTGTCTCTTCACCGTTGCCGTCCCTGTAGCCCGACAGGCTTCTTTACCTACTGCGGGCTGTTCCTGGTCCCTTGGAGTCTGTTGCCCAAGGGGCATCTTTCTGCATTGGTGGGGGAAGAATTAATTGACTTCATATTATCGCAATCATTTGTGTGCGTGACATGAATCATTCAGTGTGTGACATGAACGTCACAAGCCTGCTGACCCTGGGTTGTGTTTTCTGAGCTCTGGTGTAGTATGGTCTCATTGAGTAAGCTGAGGTGCAAATTCAGAAGATTCCCATCCTGCTCATAGAGTGATGTGTAAAAGTTGATCGGCCAAGTTTGCCGCTTCTTGAGAAACAACTATGAAAGATGCTTCGCGGGTCGACAAAAGACTTCCAGATCATGCGTGAAGTCGAACAACACTTAGGAATGGTTTAACAGTCAACTTCTCCTTCAGATACAAGGAAAGAGGTTGCTAAACCACTCCCTGCAAAATGCAGATATTAGATTTGCTGAATAAGTGCTTCGATCACAAGGTAATTCCCAAGGGTTCTAGTCATTTTGTTCCACGTTGTAATTATGACTCACAAATAATTGCTTACCTTCTCAGGGAAGAATACAATAAGAGCTGTCATAAGGAACCTTATCAAGTTAAAGGTATTTGAGTAATTTCCTGATCAGTGTTCATTAGATTTGCATATCTCATTCAACTTTCACGAGACCAATAACCTCTCCAAGCTTTCTTCTTCCTTTTTCTGTACTAACCATTGTTAACTTTCTCCCCTAATGGACACAACATTTCGAGATGCATGTTCTTTCCTCTGAGGGAATTGTCTCCTCCCCCGTCCCTAGATCTGCTTCTTGAAATTCAACTCTGCCTCCAAATAGTGCCTCAGATGCCATCTCTTAGCAGGTCTTCCTCAAACCCTTAGAATTTCTACCTCTTCCTGTAGTGCTTTTCTTATACATCTATTAATAGCTCTGATCACCTGATTTGTATTATAATTGTATACCTGCTGTACTTCAGAGCCGGGACCTCCTTTTAGGTCCTGTTGGTCTCTGTGTTCCTTAAAACATCTTGGTCCGGGGGTACCCGGGTGGCTCAGTCGGTTAAGTGTCCGACTCTTGACTTTGGCTCAGGTCTCACGGTGAGATCAGCATGGAGTCTGCTTGGGATTCTGACTCCCTCTCTCTCTGCCCCTCCCCTGCTTGCTCTTTATCTCTCTCTCTCTCTCTCTCTTTCTCTCTCAAAATAAATAAAAATAAACTTAAAAAAAATCTTGGCCCATGCAACAAATGAACATGTGTTTGTTTTTTGAACACGTGTTTTGTCTACAGGGAGCACTTTATACATATTGATTCCATAGATTTTTATTTCCCTTTAGTAGGTCAACTGAATTTTGATTATGGTTAGCTCTTTTGCCTTGTCCCAAAAATATCTTAAAACTTCCTGACTTGGGTGTGTTTCATTACTTAATTTCTTATATTTTATTTTATTTTATTTTATTTTATTTTATTTTATTTTATTTATTTTAACGTTTATTTTTGAGACAGAGAGAGACAAAGCATGAACAGGGGAGGGGCAGAGAGAGAGGGAGACACAGAATCGGAAACAGGCTCCATGCTCTGAGCTGTCAGCACAGAGCCCGACGCGGGGCTCGAACTCATGGACCCTGAGATCATGACCTGAGGTGAAGTCAGACGCTTAACCGACTGAGCCACCCAGGCGCCCCAGTTTCTTATATTTTAGTAGACAGTTTGAGAACATGTTCATTTCTTCGTCTAGTTGCCAAAGAGTTCACCCTGGGACCCTATGCATATGCTTTGTACTAAAGGGAAACGTTCATACTTGTCTGATAGGAAAGTGAACTGGGGTTGGCACATGATTACTCAGATTACAGAATAGGAACTTCTTGGAAAGAGAATCAGTGTAACAGGTTTTAAGGAGGGGCCATTTCTTTATAAAACCAAAGTTTCAGCTTAAACAGTCAACTTCCCTCTTTATTTGGTAACTTTGTTTTTCCCCATTAAGTTGAAAGTTACGAAAAGCAAAGACTTGGAACGTGTTACGACTTGAAATGTGTCCGATGCTGCAGGGGAGGATTTTTCCAGCTTTATCTCATTTAACCCACACAGCAACCTCAATGTAGGTGGCATTGGTAAGCTCCTTTCCACAGGTCATCGGACCATGCTGAGGACCGTGCCCAAGGTCACGGTAACTGGTGGAACTAGGATTCAAGGCCGGGTCTGTCGCGTGCGCCCAGAAGCCTGCCCTAAATCGTGCCCTAGGCTCCCCGGCTGCCTGAAGCCCTGTGAAGGAAGAGGAGAGGCTGGGGAAAGGCCGCTTACCCACTTCTCAGGTGTCAGTTCTGATTATAATCACAGATGAATCTTCACCAAGGAAAACATATGCACACACTGGTTTCGCAATATGTAAAAAAACAAACAGAAAACGTTGCCTTTGAATAAGTCCTGGTTGTGATCGCCCTGTGACTCAGATCCAGCGGGTCCTGGGCAGGACCCAGGTGTAGTCACGGTGGATGACGGTTTCGCAACCGCCGTGTTCCAATAGCCAGCATCTCCAAAGAATGACTAGAATTGTAGTTCGGTGCTTGTTTTGACGGGAAGCACTGCCTTGGCCCCAGCGGCCTCATCCTTAGAGATCTCACAAGGCTTAGGGACGGATTTCCGCTTTCTGCCCTTCATGTATTTATTTGACGCCTATTTATTAAGCGCCCATCAGGGGCCAGGGACTAATGCACCGTAAACGCAGTAAAACTGATGCAGTTCTTAGGCAGAATGAGGCCACCATTGTGATAACTACGGTTGTGTTATTTTTGTGCTTTCTTCTTTTCCACCAAGTTGGCTCATTTTCTCGCCCATCACCTTACACAGATGGCAAGAAGACGGTCCCCTCACGGTGCTGCCGCCCTGTCTTGTCTCTCACAAACATCATGTGTGAAGAGCTCACCCTCCCCCCAAGCCTAACACAGCATCTGGCACGTGTTAGGCGCTCATTACATGACTACGTACCCGAGCCCTTCAGAGGCGTTGACTAGAACTTTGC